TGAGCGGTCCTAATCTTGGGTAGCGCATATGTAAACTCCACACCAATCGCAAGGCTGATCTGGGTTGTCCCACCCACACATCCTTAACAAAACTGTGTTACACTTCATTCCTTGTGTTTGAGTCAGAATTCCACCAAGTGAAAGCTAGCCTAGCATCAATTGTCCGTTTATTAATTCAACTGGCCACGCCACCATTCTCTGAACACACGTCGAGCGGTAAAGTGGATGACAACCTTCAAGATGCTGCTGTTCAAAAGCCGGATAGTATTTTTGTCATGGACACAGCGGGGAGACAGTCTTCAACATGACCTGCACGTTATGTATTGCCTGTTTCACTCATTTCTCTCTGCGCGTGCTGATGTTTAGTTCTGCTTCATTGACGTAGCAGGCTGGGAGCTGCGAACTGAGGGTTGTCAATCAGACACGCTCATCAGAATATTAGGCCACGCCCATACATTTCTCAGGTCTGATAAGCGATTTCAATTTTCTTAAATTTCATTCTTGTCCTTTTAAACTTTGCTGGTTGTTTATTACATCACTCAAGTTCAGTATCATACATTTTTAATTCATTTTTTATATCCAAAGAAATCCTACACCAAGCTTTCTTGTCATGTTTTGAGGCAGACATGCAGTTGACATATGCATCGCCTCCCGGATGTCTTGAAGCGGTCGAGCGTGTTGATATGATGGTGGTCCGATTTGACATGATTTCCATATCTCCATCTGTGCTCGCTGTGGCTCGGAGCTCCGTGGTCCGGCCAAGATTGATGCTCTTCCTTTTAAGACTCTTATCTTGTCTCGCCCGCAGTGTGCCTGCTCTCGGCTCCATGCTCCCTTCTCCATGCTTTGTGTGGAACAATGGTCTCTGAGGAGCTGCTCAAACTTTCATCTGGCATGTCAGCATTTCTTCCATTTTTATTCGCCTTTTTTGTACCCTTCCTGTTTCATTATCTTAAACTGCGATCATTTCTGTACCTTTTATTGTTTTCTTTTTTTTTCCTCACTCTTAGGCTTTTTTTTTCTTTTCTTCCCCTCTCTCTCCCCCTCTCTCTCTTTCTCACTCTCTCTCCTGTGATCCTTCTTCCCTTGCAGAGTCGCCTCATTGTCTCACAGTGGTGAATCTATTTTCTCAAGGGTTACTGCCTCTCCTCTCCACACTGGTTTTGTTTGGGTGAGGGTATTTGTGTCGACGTGTTGTAATCCTGCCTGTTTACTGGAGATTAAATAGGAGAGGAGGGGAAGAGATCCAGGCGTAAAATCCCTCCCATTTCAATGGAATCCTTTTGCTTTCTACCCCGCTAGCAAAACACCATTATATCTCTGTTTAATCAGAGCCAAAAATATAGGGATCACATTACATGTTCTGTAATTCATCTTTTCGTATTGCGCAAAAACCTACGTAAGTGGCTTAGCTTAGAGTCACAGACTTTAACCTGTTTAAATCTGATTTACAATACTGTGGAAAAGTCAGTGCCTACCCTTCATTTATCAGGAAAAAGGGAGAAAACGTGCATTCAGTAAAACACCACTCAGGCCTCAACAACTACATATGAGTGCCCGCCCTTTGCCTTATTGCTTCGATTTTTTTATTTTTTTTCAGGAGACTCATTCTCTGTTTTCCAAAGAAATCTTCAGGTTCAGTCTTAGAAGTTGGTTGATCATTTTCTGAAGTAATCCTAAACACATTCAGTGATGTTGAGGTCTGGACTCTGGGGTGGTCAGTCTATTGTTCAGCTTCTTTGTTTGATGTGTCTGTCTCCTTTTCTCAGTGAGGTCTTCTTGACAGCTACACATCCTTTCAGACCCATAGTGCTTAGTCATGTTCTCACAGTGGAAGGATGGACAGAAACCCCTGCGGATGTTTTCAGATCTGAAGCAGCTTGATTGTCTTTGTAGTTTTGAGTGAATTTCAAACTACAGCTGTCATGAATAATTTTAAAACTTACCTTTTAAAGGTCCTTTTCATCGTTTTTCAACACAGCTGGTTGATGGCCTTGCCATTTTCTTTTTTTTTTGCCACATTATTATTGACTTTCAGCCACGTTCTTTTCATTTTAGATTTACAATCTAATTTGTTCTCCTTCCATTAGAACTGACAGTGATATATTCAGCTGCTCAGCAGCTAATGAAACCATGAGTTTGTCATTCAGGGCCCATTAGAACTTTTTATTGCAGTGTTGCTGAGGGTTTTAGGCTGGAGTTTTAGACCATGTTCTTGCCTTACAGCCATTTTATTACAGTTAGATGCCTTTTGGCCTCTCAAGCCCACATCAGGAGCTTAGCAGAGCATGAACCGCTGCTTACGTCTGACATCTCGCCTTCATCAGAAGGGGGAATCGATCTGCTCTGCTGCCGCTCTGAAGGCAGGGCTTCTGGACAGTCCTGTCGCGTCTGCGTGTGGTTGAGCAGTTACCTGAAAAAAACAGGTCTATCAGGTGTGTTTGTTCATCATAGGCTCCATGCTTTGTCTGTAAGTGAGACCATAAGAGTAGAATAGGCAACATGAGGATACGCTAGAACATGTATCTTAGTGATGCACCGGAACTTCTTGGCCCGAATAAAAATTCAGGACGCGTTGGGCTGAAAAGCTGACAATAAACAGTTTACTTAAAAGAAATGTACTAAAATGATTAGTGTGGCTGCAGTATGTGTATCAAAATCCAACGTCCTCGACAACAGAGGACGGTTGGTCTGTTTTTTTGCAATTCTTTGCACTTTGCGCTGCGTTTCGAGATCTTTCATCTTTTCAAAAACTGTGACTAGAGATGGTGTCAGGATGCTCATGGGGACTTTCCTTTCTGCTTCAGTTGTTTTGCTGTATTCTGCATATTGAGCGGGATGTTTTCAAGTGGTATCAAACCTGCAATGCAGAAGTTCTTGGTTGTTCTGCCTCTTGATAACATCAGTGAACAGAGATTGTAAATCACTTACTAATGTTTTTCATAGTTCTTTGCAGTCAGCTTTTTCTGCGATGATCCACTGCCGCTCAAGCTGTTTGAAGAAAGTATAGGAAACAGTGTTATTAATCACTTTTGCTCATTTTCATTACCATGAAAACTTTGTAAAAGCTTCAGTTTTGATACGTTGATTTAATGCCTATTTATTGTTCGTTGAATTTTTAATCGGTCAAAATGTTTGGCCTTTTTTCTCTTCGGGTGACAAAATGAAAGCATGGTCTTTAACCATTTTCGGCTGTAAGTTTTAAAAGACTGAAATTTTGATGAATCCATAATGTATCTTAAACACAGATTTAGATCATTTATAGACCATCTGTAAACAACCACCAGTGTGGAGTGTCCTAATTAAAGTGGCTAATTAAAAGTCAGCCTGTTATGCCATTCTTACTTTAGGAGATTGATTTGTTCTTTCTTAAGTAGTATGTTTTTGCATGTTTTGAATTAAAAAAAAAGTTTTAATAGCTCTTGTTCTTCATAAACCTCATGTATGGTCTTTCATGTTATGTATAGTTAAAATGGCTTAAGTATGGTAAGCATGCATATGTGCCAACACTTAGGTGTACCCAGAGATGGAAAATACTTGAGAAATCTGTATTTAAGTAACATTTTGGAATTTGTGTTTTACTTGAGTATTATTCAAATTGAGTACTTATACTTTCGCTCAGTTACATTTCTAAGAAGGGACTCCTTACATTTTCATTTAGACCTCCTAAATACTTATTACAAACCTGAAAGGTCAGGGAGAATTTCTTTTTTTCTTCTTGTGAATCAGTTGAGTTCCTGTGCATTTAAATTTATTGCCTTTTATTAAAACATTTAACCGAAGTCAAATCAGTATATAATAAAACTGCCCACAGCTATGCTAATTGGACTTTGGGTGAGGACCAGGACAGCCGGTTAGTCACTGCACTGCATCATGCACCAAACAAAGAGAACTTTTAATTTGTCTGTAAAAACATTTACTTTTTTACTTTTATTGGCTTGAGCTATTTTAAATGTAAAAATTCTTTTACTTTCTCAGATAATAGATTTCTGGTTCTGTATAGAGGTGGGCAAAATGATATTTTATCGTTACCAAAACAAATTTCATGAAGATGAGCCATACACATTTCTGAGCATATGATCAGTATCGTCCATTAAAGAACACTGACCAACCGCATGTTTTGTTACAGAGAGAGAACAATTAGGCCTATTTAATTATATTTAGTACAGTACATTATGTGAAAAGTTAAATAAAAAAAAAATTATTGTGCCTAGAGTGTTTGATGGATGTTTTTAAATGTGCCACTATTAGTGCAATGTGTCTGGGTCAAAATATGATTCGAACTGTGTATCGTGACATGATATTTTTACCGTAATGGTCGACACTAGTTTCATACTTGGCCCCGTGTAACCCAGAAGGATAAGTGGCTTAGATAACGTGTGGGTGTGGGTCTGGGTGTCGACACGGTACTCTTACTTTTGCTTTCAGGTATAATTTCTTTGTATTTTCCCACGCTGGTTGTAGCAACAGTTGGACTGCTTTCAAATTACCTGTGAAGAGTTTCTTAGTCCCCACTGACTGTTTCCATTAAGGATGCCTGAAATTGGTAGCCTCATTAAGTGTGGTGGACTCACTGCACATCTGATATTCTCTCTGATTTTTTTCCTTTATGATGGAGAGTAGATTGCTCCTGACATTCATCCTTACTCATTTGATCTTCTCTCTGATTTCTATATCAGTCTTAGCTTGTTTTACTTGTGACTCATGCTGACGTTTTCTTGCTCATTGCACATCTGGCAGTGATGTATCGCCTAAAGTATCCTTCTTTTCTGAGATGCAAGTTAACAAGAAATCTAGAGTCATGCAGGAAGGCCATGCTATGTTCCTGTTGCTGGAAGGATGTGGTTTTATGTGCTATCTGTGCGCATTGGCTGTGTTCTAAGAAAATGCTCCTTATTTCCTTATTTACTCCATTTCAAAAAAACTGGTCTTTTACCAGAAGGGATGCGCTCTAATAGTGTAAATGTTTTTTCTCTCTCTTTCTCTGGGTGTTTTGGCAGGTATTTGGAGATTACTATCATTTCCGGCACCGCAGGGTGGTGAAGAGGTCTTTATCGGAACACAGAGGAACACACATTCGCCTTCACAGAGAACCCCAGGTATGTGTGAAATGTTCCACACAGCTTGCAGACGTTATGACTCTCTTTGGACCCGTTCACTCAAAGGGAGCATTTAGCCCTCCAAAGTAATATCAAGAAAATTGATGTTGAAAGCATTCAGATCAGGCAACCTGGTTATGCTGACAGCAGTCATTTATATCTCTCACTGTGTTTGATCTGGACTAACAGATTTTGCCTGTGCAGGATAATTAGGATAAATTTAATAATGCCTCTGCTGCTCAAATCTATTCAGAGCAGGAGGGTGTTGAGGAAAATAAAACAAGTTTGCTTGCTAGGGATGCACAACCGGAATCTGCCATATTATTGCTAGTGAGATTGTTTACAGTATACTTTCATCCGACTGCCTCCCGTTGCCATTGTTAATTGATAATACTGTAACGCGAGAGTGTGAGTGAGAGTGAGAAAGTGCCAGGAATACTGACTGAGAGGCTTATTTCTGTTAAATAGCTAATCGCTTCTTACTTTGTGTAGCACATTTGATTTATGTTAATAAAATTATATTTAAATAGGCTGCTCATTTTGCGTGAAGTGGCATTTAAATGGCAGTTTGGTCCATTAAAGGGCAAATAGTGTTATTTATATTGCAGCTGTGCCTAATAGAAAGTACTGAAAGTACACTAATGTATTCTAACTGTTCATTTGACCCACACATTGGCCCTTATTTATCAAAGTTGACAAAAAAAAAATAGTGCGCAGGCTTGTCCACCTTTTAATGATGCACAAACTACTCTGCATCTGATTCGTGAAAGTTTTGTTCGACATGAAGATTTGAGTGCAAATGATGCATCAGCTTCAGGGCCAGTCTACCAGCACATCATTTACATAAGGCATACACTCATTTATGCAGATGTTTTGGTCTGTAGCCAATAAAACCACAGCATTCAGTGGCTCGCAGCAAATGGCTGTGCTCCCCCTACTGACCAAACTTTATAGTGTTAAAATTACGACTGGAAAGAATAAAATGTGGAAATGTTTTTAAAAGAAGGATCAATAATGTAATTGTGTGCTTTTCCTAAAATAACACAAATGCTGTTTTATTAGTGTATGATATGTTTCTGCACTAGCTGTGTTTTGTGTTGGTTGTTTTTTGGGCGGGGTCAGTAGTATAAATAAAAGCACAGTGTAAAATGCCTTTAAATGGAACATGTCATAGTTGTAGCATTTGTTTATGTCAATGTGCATGTAAAATAAACATCATCCTTTTGTACTAGATTGCCATGTGCACAAATTATTACTGTTATAATACTATTATATTTTTATTATTCTTTCTCGGTTTTACTGATGTTGAGCAGGCATTTTTGCAGGCTGTCAATCTATTATGCAAAATTTACACACTCCTCACAGATGTAAGATTCATTGTACAGATGCACTAAGATTAACATGATGAATTACAGAACTGTTGGTGAAATTTGCATGCATTAATTTTACAATCTGATTTGATCGTGTGCAACTTTGATGAATAAAGGTCAATGTGGACTTTGGGTTAAAATCACAAAAAAAGGCCATCGGCCAATTTGGCTGTAAAGAAATCGGCCATAAAAGTGCACCATGATTGATGCATCCCTGTTACTTTTGTTTCTAGGCCCAGTCTGATCTGTGGTGATAGTATTCGGTGATATTACCTTTGAAAATGTATATCTTTTGTTCAAAGTTTGTTCAAAATCTGTTTTGTGGAGCCACTTCACTACTAATGGGAATACAGAATGAGGCTCAGGAGACAAGAACCAGTGTGGAGCATCAATAAATCTTTGATCTTGTTAGTTTTAACACACCTCTTTCAGCAGCTTACTTAAGCCCCCCCCCAGCCCACAGGACTGGAATTTTTTTTTTCCTACTTGGGGATTGATTTTTGTTATCTGTATAGTGATAAGCCTTGCTTGCTTGTTCTGCTGTCTGCTTCTCATGATGCTCTGATGCTGTCTTTTGAACTTGATTGAAATGTTTCTCTGTCGGCCCGTTCATCCTCGGCTCATATCACATAGCTGTCCTTCCTTTGATGCCGTCGTGTGTCATGTTCTTGTTGAAAGATCCCCAGAAACTCCGGTGTTGTCGTCCTCTCCTCCATCTACCCTCAGTCCTGTGTTCTCGAGCATTTTTTGAAGCTGTAAGACTGGCCTTTCTGCTTCTCTGAAGTCTGAAATGTGACCGTTTGAAGTCAAGGTGCCTTCAATGACTCGGCCTGACATCTGCAGCCATTCAGAACCGCCTGAATGTTCGTCACTCACTGGCCGCTCTGGTCCAGATGGTGTGATGTGAGGCGGCCTGAAACCTTAACCCTACACTTTCAGCGCCGGGGGCTAGAGGTCTCCTTAGTGGAAATCACTGACTGGATCAACATGGACTGTTACTCACCTTCTACAGCGGCCTGAAAGTCTGCCTCAACATGCCTGCGACCCCATGCTGGAATGGCCTGCAGGAGTAAGAGTGGCTTGCCCAGAGATGGAAAAACACTCCATTGTCCAGTGTGCAGAAGTGATGAGGTGTGTGAATAATGAGGCCACCAGGGATCCCGCCACAATGGCTACACACCGGGCTGGGTGTGCTCGTTTGTCTTTATAATGCGAGGGAATATGCTGGAGCCATAGTCAGATGGTGCTCGTGAGCTTGAGCAGACATTGATCCATACTTGAGGCTTGCAAATCCTGGTTCTCCCTTGGAAAGGGTTTTCCAGTCTCAGTCCTCAGGATCTGCTGTTCCTGCATGCAGGTCTGATTCACATGCTTAGATTCATCAGCTCAGTATCAAGTCTCTCATGAGTTCAATTGTGCTTTGGAACAAACTGTGCAAGGTATTGTGTCCATGGCACTGACTGGAAAACCACTTCCCCAAACCGTGACCAATGAGTCCCAGAACCTTGTAATAGGCAACGATGGGTCCACTTCAGCAATTGAAGATAGAGGCCGGATGATCTCAAGTGATGTTTTAACAGGGATGTAGCCTACAGCTTAAAGGGGACCAATGACAGTCAAATAGCCTTGATTTTCCAACCCTCTAAAAAACATTCAAAACAGAATTATGACATTTTGTGGTATGCTTTTAAAGAGAGAGTTTTTTTTTTAATGGAGAACCTATAAAACTTGATCTCCCAGTATTTGTAGAGGTTATTCTGACTAAAATCATTTTGAATATTTGAACGCATTTATTAAAAAGAACGGTGGAGTGGAATTTAACTCGATCTGTGGATGCTGGTGAGCAGGGCTTCGTTTGTAAATGGTGACGGATCCATCTATCCAGGATAGATGCTGGGAAGTGCCGGCACAAATTAAGCCCTGGTGGTGGGATTCAGGTCAGGTTACAGCAGAGATCGGATTCCAAACTTGGTGCTGTGGTTTAGGTCAGCTTGGACTTGAGCTATGTTGAAGTTCAGAATTTACAGACCTAATTAAAACTGGGGTTGTGCCACTTTTGTAGACTCTTTCATGCAGGTGATTTGGATCTTTAAGCCAGAGGGTTCACCAGCACAGTTGTGGCACATAAGTTTGTCTTCCCTCTCAGCAAGTCTTGATGGGATTTCCTCTAGCTGCCCTACTCCGCTTCCTGTTGTTGAATTCCTTTGCTCCCTCAGCACCAAGCTGAAAGGGGAGCCTCCCAGCTTTTAAACAGACTTTATCACGAACAATGCTACTGATTGACAGAAGACACCTTGATTAAGCTTTTGTTCTTAAACGTTAGTACTTTTTTACTTCAAGTTCTTCTGCATTAGATTTTTAGAAGGGGAAGACACTAGGAGGACAGTGTTGCCTGTCTAAACATTTAAAAATGGGAACTTTTTGGTCTGTTTCTCTGACATCATAGCTTCACATTTCATTAAGAGATTTTGCGCCAAGACATTCAGATATCTTCAAGTGAGCTTCTACCTACTGCCTGCTATATTGGAAACGTCTGGTGAATGGTGGTGCTCTAAAGCTGTTCCAGATTACCAGCTTGCAAACTCATTTATAATGGAGATGTTATCTCCATCGCTGGAGTCTCTGGTCTGCATCATTCAGTCCTTCCCCATAACATAGATAATTCACTCGCCCCAGGCATTTGCTAGTGTCTATCAGCTATAAAGGCATGCTTGGCACCATCCAGGTCTCTAAAATGCTGGGATATTAAGCTTGTTTAGCAGTAATCAATTTTCATTTGTGGGTATATTGGCTGCAAAACATTGTGATTTGGTCTTGAGCAGATTTTACAGAATGCTTAGTTTTGTGGGGCTGAACATAGATGCATTTTTAGCGTTGCTTCTGCTGATGATTACATTGATGGCAGCTTGAACAGCTTGAAACTCAGATCTGCACTGCTTTTTAATTACCATATTGGCCTCAGCAATTGCTAAGGATAAAAATAGTTTATTGAACCTAATGCTGCTGTTGATATTCAGGGCTAAGGCAAAAGCAATCTAAATATGTGGTTCTGGTTTTAAAGGGTTTAATGTGAGACCTCATTTGAACTGTGCAGTTACAGTTGAGATACTGCTGCCACTTGCTGACATCTTTGATCAAATGCATAATTAAGCCATTATAACCTTTTGTAGTTTCCTCTCACTTTACCCCATTGCAGTTCAAAGTTCCGTCTTTGTGGCAACAGATTTCTTTTTTTAATGATGCAGCAAAACAGTAGGCAGAAGGCATATCGCGACCTAAACCTCCTGTAGTTGTGTTGCAGTTTATCAAAGTGATTGTGCATACCATATAAACAATTATACAGCAGTTTTTTGTCAGCTTTTCTGTAATTGCTGTCATCTAATTGATTGTCAACAAATTGACTTTGCCAAACTACTTGTTCCTGTCTTAAAGTTAAGCTGTTTATAGGCCACGCTAGTATTGGGTGATATACCAGTTTAGCATCATCTTAAGATATACCTTGTTTTTCTTTCATATCCTTTATACAGGAATGCAGCAAATAAGCACTGATATCGTGACACATGTACAGCCCAAAATACGCTAAAGTTATTCCATTTAGCTGAATGGCTGAGTCAGGGATGTTTTGGTAAT